CAACTTTTATAACAAGTCTCTCCCTCCTCCCCTCTTCCTCTCCCTCCTCCTCCACCCTTCCTCCATCCCTCCCCTCCTCCTCCACCTCTTCTCCATCCCTCTTCCTCTCCTTCCTCCCCCCCTCCACCGCTCCTCCTCTTCTTCCTCCATCCCTCCTCCACCTCCTCCTCTTCCTCCTCCATCCCTCCTCCTCCTCCTCTTCCACCTCCCCCTCCTCCTCCTCCTCTCTTCCTCTATCCCTCCCCCTCCTCCCTCCCAGGCACATCGTGAGCTTCTTCCTCATCATCACACAGCTGGGCTTCTGCTGTGTGTACGTTGTATTTCTGGCTGACAATTTAAAACAGGTATGCTCTCCTAGAGGGGAGGGTTCGGGAAGGGAGGGGGGGCGAGGAGAACGAAGTTTCTCTCCCAGTCGTTTGCCTCACACATTTCTTCATCTGAGTCCTAGTGGACTCATCGTTATAGAACAGGAAAGGAGCACAGTGCTGTCAAACAGCCCAACCTGTCCCCTGCCTGCTAACAGATCTGTAGATGTCTGAGCCATTGTACTGTGTGTGTGTGTGTATGTCTGCGTGTGTCTGTGTGCATGCGTGTGTGTGTGGGTGCGTGCATGCATGTGTGTGTGTGTGTGTGTGTGTGTGTGTGTGTACGCAGTGGGAGGGCAGAGGTCAGCCTCAATTGTCATTTCTCAGGATCCATTCAGCTTAGTTTTTGAGACAGGGTCACACTGAACCTGGAACTTTCCAAGCAGCTTAGTCTGGGTGGCCAATGAGCCCCGGGAATCCATCTGTCTGCCTCTCCAGCTCTGGATTACAAGTGTTCACAACCATGCGTAACTTTTTATATGGGTTCTAGGGATCAAACTTGGCCCCAGTGCTGGCCTGGAAAGCACGTCTCCACAGCCCCAAGCCTTTGCTTTCACCACAAGGCCTTCTGTCCAGTTTGCTGGCCCTGTCTCCAGGGTGGTTGTCTAAAGTTCTGAGCTTTTTTTTTTTTTGGTCTTTTTGAGACAGGGTCCCCCTTTACCCCCCGCTGGATTGGAA